ATAGTTGGAACGGGATATTTTTAAATATTATTGATTGATTTAAATGTAGGTGCTTCCTTATTTAGAAATTCATAGATGATGATGTGAAAAATTATACGGTGCATGATGCAGGGAGTGCTGCTTAGAGAAAGAATGCTACTTTGACCTAGTCAAGAGTAGTAGATTGCAACATGAAGAAAGTCAGTTAAAGAACTGGAGGCTGATGAAGATGGCTAGGATGATATGGAGCGACATGAGACTATACACAATAGGAAAAATCTCTGAAGAATATATTTTTTCTTTTTTCATAGACTGTATATAAACATTTTTTAAAAAACAGGTTGTAACTGCTTTGTACTCTTTTCTGTTTAATAAAGATGTTATTTTTTATTACATTTTCTTAAAACTTTTCCTTTTCATTGAAAGTATATGTATACAAATTATTAACAAATTTTATCTGTGTTTTACTTTTATTTGCCTGGATGGTTTTCATGCTACTCATTAGCTCCAGCCAAATTATGGTTGACCAAGCGGTCTAGCTGCCCAGCCACAATAAGTTATTGCTGAGTAGCAACCCGCTTGGCTTCGATGACTGCATCTTTAATTTGTTGGGCCTTCTCTTTGAAGTGTTTCAGTAAACAAAAGAAAAAAAACTTAATTTGTTTCCACTTTTCAACACACAATTACATTTATATGGCCATTCACAAAAATAGTTTCGGATAACGACCTCTTCAGTTCATCGTCACAGTATTCAAAATAACATAAACTACTTAGCAACGCATGAAAAATAACCTCAAGTAGTAATGAGGCTATTGGGTTACAACAGTCCTTCGGATGCAGAAGTAGTTCCATTTACTTTTTGAGTTCATTAGATTATCTTCCCTGATTTTATTACTAATCAGAACAGACTTTGTGATTTGTCTTAACATCGGGTCGAAACCTGCTCTTCTCTTTGTATCTTACATCTTCTTTCTTGCATTTCTATTGCAGCCGGAGCACCTTTAATTTCTGTTTCATACTCTGGGGACAACTGTAAAATGCAGGACCCCAACCATTTTATATATCTACTACTATTAACTTTTCTTGGTCTCTAAGATAATGAGATATAATGAACTCATCAGTACCTTAAGTTAACAAAATGTTGAAAGCCTTGTCTCATCAGGAGCTTAGAAGGTAATCAAGGAAATAGGCCAAGGGAGGGGAGGTCAAAAGCAGAAAATATATAGCCACAGGAAGAATAGGCGGGCTTCGAAGACAGAGGCCGCCTATTTCCACACGTTTCGACGCCATTATTCTGGGAACAGGCCTAAAATATGTTACATCGAACTATATGGGACGCGCCGTCCGCCAGTTTGAAAAAGGAGTTAGTTTTAGACTAGGAACAGGCGAATTACTTTCTCACTGCCATTGTTAAAAAAGGCTTGTGATCGCCTTGCGCTCCAAAACCTGGCCACAGCCGTCCTGTTGAATCTCGCTCCCAAAATCAGGCTTCGTGTCCATTGAAAATTAACTCAGGGTTGGGACCTAAGCCGGTTCAAAACTAGAAGAGTATTTTAGTTAGGATTGAAAAGGTCTGACTTTCCGCGAAAAATACATACGCACAGGGGGACACGAACATGTTGCGATCTAGCACCTCTCCTATATAGCTTAATCATTCTTTACATTTGTGTGTCAACATTCTACTCATTCTCTAGATTTGGCCCAGCTTTCTCACGTAAAAATATTAAAATGTTAAATTACAAGGATATATTTCTCTCACAAGGTTAATAACATAGGAACTTAATGTGCTATTCAGCTCTAGAACATTTGTTATGTCTGGCCGCTCAAAGTTCACGGGAATCGTCGGGGCCAAGCAAATGATCGTACCATTGAACAAGGCACTGTCCTTAAAGGGTTTAGAAATAAATCACGCTTTACAAAGCGAAGAGGACTTTATCGAATGTTACCGATCTACGAAAAAGCGAATCGAATTCATGGAGTCATATAGTGGTTTACATGTAAGGCATTACTGAGCACACGCTAGCGTCATATCATAATAAAGTCGCGGCGATATAAATTTCTTTACAGGAGAACGGGCGTTTTCGCCGAGAAACTGATCAAACATTTCAATTCTTACCCCAGAGTAGTCGGGGTTTTTTTTAACTTCCTTTCGCTAAAAATGACAAATTCAGCATCCTTCCTTGATATCCACCACGCATTCTGATCTATTCTCACAACGCCCAAATATAAACAATTTCCGAGAAAAAGAAACGACGAGGAGGTGAAATGCCAGATCCTCGCCAAGGCAACGTATCCCAGTCAAAACAAAACACGCGTTGTGGGGAACCGAGTGATTTTATGTACTTTAAAAGCACGTAAACACAATTATTCTGGCGCGAAATGAAGATTATCTTGCAATGTATGCTGAAATTTAATACATTGAAAAGTCTCGCCATGACACAGAAATGTTAGCACTTTCAAGGAGCGTGAAACATTAAATGGGACAAAGTGCCCACAAAGCTTATAACTCTGCATGGTACTGTACTTCCAGTAAAACCCCTCTGCGTCCTATCATATCCCTGTTTTTTTTAAAGAGTTTATCAGTGGTTCACCTTAATTTTTCCGGGGATCAGATGTTATAGTATCTCTTTTTTGCTAGGAAGATTTAAGGGTTCTAATCTCTAGTAATAAACTACTTAGGAAGTAACTCGTCCTTCATTCGATAAAATAAAAAAGCGGTCACTTCATTTGAAGAAAACAGTTTTCTTGGGACGGGAGCTTTATTGCTGCCATCTGAAAATAGCTACAATCCTGGACAAAAGTCCTTAGGACAGTACTGCAATATTCATATTTTTCTGTCATTTCTCGGTTCCCTCTAAACAGTGCATCCTTTTCGAAATTTTCTTTCAGTTCTCCCTCCCCACACCCTATACAAAGTTGAAACTCGGAAAAAATTCTGGATACACTCGTCCAACATTAATTGTTTGTGGGGTGAGGGGAGGGGTTGGACCTGTGTGCATTAGAAAACGCCCCAGGAACGCGAAAGTGTCCCAAGACTTCTGTCCATAATTGTCTGAAAAGGAGGTGGGAAGAAAAAAGGCAATTTTGAGTGTTTTTCAAGCCTGTAAAATTGTTTTTTCGGGATTCTGATGGAAGATCGTGAACGTGTTTTAAGAATTCGCTCGAAACGAATGATATACACCAGAAATTGTAGACTGATCTCATAGCGCGTGCTTTGTTCCAAAGGATAACATATCTTTAAACAAGACTCACGTCCGAAAACGGTTAAGGGAAGCAAAGAGTTACTAACATTAAGGTGTACACAGTAAGAATTTCGGCAAGCCAAAGAGCTAGAGTCGTGGATATATGGCAAATCAAGAGAGGTCATTTACCTGGTAAATAACTTGCTCGGAGATGTCACCATTACAGTCGCCAGTACTCAATGTAAGTACGAATGTCAAAAATCCAGAAGGCCGTACGTTGGTAGAGAAAATAGCAACGTTTTCCAAAAGATAGAACGGCCGTGAAAAAATATTAAGCGATGTGAATAGCCATCCCTGTCATTTGTACAACACATGCAAAATTACGACAGGGCTATAAATGCAAATGTGACGCAAGAAAAAAGCGGTTGTTTCATAATACGCCTGGTTCGTGGCAAAACAGTTTTTCGCTGACTTCTAGAGAATTGTACCGGATCATTTTTTGTTTGAACAACTTGCTAATATTTGCATGTGTTTATTTGCTAACAAAAATTACGTTGCGTATTATTTGTCACGAACTAAGTAAACAACCAAGTGAGTTTACTTTGAACTGATTTGCATAGCTGGACGGTACGCACCAACAGTACTCACTCTAAAACCTGAATAATGTGTGCTTTTTCTATAGAATCTTAACATCTTAGGGATGGTGAGAGAAAATTTATCTGTAGATGCATCCTTTGACGCTTTTATTTACAGCGAAAACGCAATTTTTAGCTCTTTAGTCACAGTACTCACTTTGAAATGGAGAGAAAGAAGAATAAGGTAATTTTTCCTTACTGAATCAAGTGAGTACTGTTGTATTCACTTTACGGGATGGCCTTTTTGACGCATATTATTTCAAATGCGATTACTTTTTGCTTAAAATATACCTTAGCCGTGTTTCCTTAATGAATTTGTAGCGAATATTGATAATACACTGTGCTTTTGCGACCGAGTACTGTGCGCGATGCTCGAAACATCGTACCTGACCAACTTCCGCTGTACTGGGCTGCAGTTTAGGGGAATGGGCCCGATATGGCTAATCAGGGAATTGCCTTGTAAAAACTTGCAATGTTGAGGAAATAGTTTCAAAGGTTGTTATTATTGCATGTGATCATCTACTTGTCTCCAAAATGCCTAAAACGCGTAGAAAAAGTGAAGAAAACAGACTTTTTCAAAAAACAAGGATTCAGACAATCCTGGACAAAAGTCCTTGGGATAGTACTGCAATATTCATATTTTTCTGTTATTTCTCGGTTCCCTCTTTAAACAGTGCAGCGTTTTCGAAATTTTCTTGCAGTTCTCCCTCCCCCCACCCTATACAAAGTTGAAACTCGGAAAATATTTCTGGATACACGCGTCCAACATTGTTTGTGGGGTGAGGGAAGGGGTTGGACCTGTGTGAATTGGAAAACGCGCCAGAAATGAAAAAGTGTCCCAAGACTTTTCTCCATGATTGTAGGCCTTACTATGGGATCTGTGCGCTTTTCGTTGTATCTGCTCCTGGTAAGCTCTATATATAGATCGAACGCGCATGGAAGCCTGCCACCAGATGTCTCGCCTGCTCTTATTTAAACGACAGTGACACAAACTTTTGTAAAGCCTGCTGTAAACCTAAGTCGCGTGAGCCAACGCAAGGGGCCCATTCAAATGCGGACATGCCTCTGATCAACTTTTAAGCGCTTTACAAAATTCCAAGAATCGTTCAGAAACAAACCTTATGAACGGCAAAACGATTCATCAGAAGTTCAGCTATCCAGTTTCTTACGCTCTCTTGTACCCCCAAAGAAATTTTCTGCTGCGATGGCGGAAGACATCGTAAAGCTTTTGACTAGCATGGATGCCGCGGGAAAACAAAAACTCCATGTACGCTCATGCTCTGGTAAGACCTGAAGTTGCCCTAAGCGTCTGGCGGCCGGAACTGTCGATTCATATATAGGGAAGCTTAGAGCGATTTTCAATAGGTTAGGCCGTACAGGGTTTTCTAACCCGTTAGCACATTCTTGTGTTAAAGAATATCTTATGTTTGTAAGAGAGGAGCAAGCTCAGCGACCTTTGTAACCTCGTCAGTCTGTCCCTTTGTTCTATGAAAAATTCACCCGTTTAATTGCCTATCTTCGCGGGCTTAATGCCGAAGGCTCTGTGCTTTCTCCTCTCAATAGATACCTCCTGGTCAGAGATATAACATTCTTTGTTACAGACTTTTACACCGGTGATAGAGCATCCGATTTAGGCCGTTTAAAGGCAGATGAGCTTTTTGCGTCTCAAGGATAGGGAGGGGTTCCTTCTTAACTTAACGTTTAATAAAACGAGGTGTGCAGGTCATTTACGCCCCTTTTGCTCTGTTACGTATACCAAATGTATCTGTCTGCCTGGTTTTTTGGTTGAACTATTATATTCCGGTATGTGGGGCGTTAGGTGTCCCTCTTCTGGGTGAGAAACTCTTTAGATCCTCGGAACATACAAAGTTAGTGTCACATCGTCCGTTTGGAGGGTCCGCCGTATCTGCACGACTCTAAAAGTATCTTAAGGCCGCCGGCATTAGTGACGGAGAGACCCCTTACAGCTTTCGTGTAGGGATTTCATACACCCTTAAGGGTTTGGGTTGTACTCTGGAACGGATTGCCCAGTACGTTAGTTGGCGGAGCACACAAATTGCCTTGTATTACACGCGCCGCTCCAGTGCTTCTACTTCTTTGCATTTGATAGAACGGGTTACACTCAATCTGACTACTGCGGGCTCTCCGCCCGCGCTGCAACTCTCCGACCAAGAGAATTTGCAGAAAATTTCGTATAGTTGAATTGTATCTTTCATGACTTAGGAACATTCATTCTAGTACACTACGGTGGACATTGATGTCATTTCTATTGGATATTAACTTGTTGTTAGTTAATAACTGAATCTTTATTGAGTTGTGGAGTATTGGGTGTTGAGTGTTGGGTATTGAAATTATAAGGTCGATGTGCTTTTTGGGGAAGGACGGAGACCTAGGCTATAGCAGACTGCCTCAGGAATGGCAAGGAGCTGATCTCTCTCCTATAACTTAGTTTCAAGATGTGTTAAGTGTTAAGTTTTCAGTTTTACATTTTTCCTCAAATTAATATTTCTCGGTCTCTTCCTGCCTGCTAAATGCTCAACATAGTACTACATCCTCACTGTTTACTACTTAACACATTGTAAAAATAAGTTATGGGAGAGAGCTCCGCGGATTGTTGCGGAAAGAGGTAGGCCGAAAGAATAGATCGCGAGATGTGAGGAGTTGTCAACCAACACCAGGGGAGGAGGGTGGAGCGAACCTTGATAAGTCGTCTCGGCGGTCGGAGCTGTGACACAGTGAAATCAAAGCCACGTGGTATATTATATTTCTAAGGGGAGCCTGCAGTGCACTGATGCGTCCCTAAGCACGGCAGAGTATTTTTCTAGTCGTTTCACGATGCGTCAATTAATTATTCAATAAGAATAGTCTAGGGATGACAATTATGTGTTACGAGAGAGCGATAAAAAAACCTATGTAAATCAGTAAAGGGGAACATGCAGGCTTTCTTTTTTGTTAATACTTAGAAAGTTCATGCCGTATTTAACAAGAGAAGATTTCCTTAGCTTTAAATTAGGGTCCAAACTGGATGATTATATATTGCCTGGTTTGAATCTGATACCTAAAGTGCATAAATTGACAGAGAAAACTGGTGTGGCGATGGAACCTTTGCTGGGCACGCTTTTCCCTTCCAAAGCTACGAAATGATTTAGGTGGTCTTTTCGTATTTCCTATGGTTTACAGTAAGGATGATAATGAAGTTTACACCGCACAGAAAATATTAAGGAGAGCAGGGGCAGGGTTGCCTTTATTAATCTCCTTTTCTATTTTATGGAAAGTAAACACAAAATTAAAGAATTTGTTTTGTACAAGGAGGCTTTTACAAGAAAAATGGAAAGATATTATAACTGATTAATTGCAGTTTGGCAAAATAAATCCACATTATGATATTGTCTTTTGAGGTTGATTAACATATCTTACAAAAAAAGCAATCAGTTTTACATCTATGATATCCCGCAAGGAAACAACCCTTACTGATTTTACAAGCACCCTTTCCAGGAACACTTGTCGCACAAGTGCAACGTCCTTCTATAGGAATCCAAAGTAAGAAACAATTACCTGACATCCCTTTAGGTTCTTTTAAAATATGAATAAACATTAATTAATTGATTGACACCTTTTACCATTATTAACATAGAAATATTTAAATAATAACACTGTGCTTTTGATAGTTTAGCTGTCATTTAGTTTCCTTATTTTGTTCTATGTCTTCTTCTTCGGTGAAAAGAACCGAACTGATAAAGACAAACTCCCCATTGCCGTTCGTAAAGACAAACATAACACTTGGACGCACGGATTACTGTGAAGTATTTCCTTGCGCAAAAGTGCACGGCGGCTGCCGGTTACAGGTTGAACAAATTTCGCGTGATGTACAATGTCGTAAACCCCTCAAGTAAAGACGACATAATGCGGTCGTCCTGATTCTGCTGTTATTCAAACTGCGATAGGTTCGACCTGTTTGTAACTGTTTTTATTCGTTTCGAAAAGAAAACTGTTGCTACCGTTCCAAAGCATCTCCTCCTCAGGCAGGGATGTTGGAAGTTTCTGGACTTATGAGATACCAATTAACTATTCATTAATTAAACATGGCTGGTGTTAGTCGATTTAGGCACGAAGGGCCAGTTCGCAAAAGCCTCAAATGTATCCTATTTTCTTGGTAATTTTTATTGTAAATTAACGTTGCAGTCATTGGTTTTGTTGTAGCCAGTAGAAGGAATCACACGAGCGACATGTGCGTTTGCATAGGCCAAAATGAATTCATCATCCCTTAGGTTGAAACGCTTGAATGCTTGTTAGAATTCATCTCGAATGATATTTTTCTGTTTGTCTTAATCTGTTTTATTCGTGTGAAGTATAAAGGTCGTTTATACTAGTTTTCAAACTATAATAGGCAAAATCCGTTTACCTCTAACAGGATTCATGAGCACTTTCTAGTCTCCTGCTCCAATATTATAATATTTCAACAGTGAACGAAGAAGGGTATTTTACATGTGGCCGAGTAGAAGGAACTAAAAGCAACTAAAAGTTTAACTGTGCTATTTCGCTCAATTTGAGGCTTAGCAAAATAATATTTTTACTCTTGTTATTCGTAATTGGTAAATAATAGAAGAAAAGACTTTGTAAGGTGTACTACCCACATCTGTTCGTGTTGCACTGCTGGTGTAACTAGCTAGCCGCGAAGTGAAGGTTACCTGTACGGAAACTTATATACGTGGCTGCTTGCGGATACTAGCGTTGTAGTCTTGATAATAAACAGCAGACAATGCAAAAAAAGAAAAATACAACTTACAAGATTTGCAGCTTAGATAGATTGGAAAATATCCCAGGTGGAAGCTGTTCAATTTTGTTGTTGGACAGATATCTGCAAGAATGAGGTTAATTATTTTAACCGCGCATGTCACAACAACAACAATCAGTCAAAAAAACCCCTCATCATTGTCTATTTTCGTTCTTATCATAGTTGCTTATTGCTATAGTACTGACCTCTGTATGCACTGGTAACTTTATATGCGTGCATGGGAACTATAAATTTTTTTGGAGAAAACGGAACTACGCTTTAGACACTATTTTGCACGCGCCTACTCCCATTAGTTTTCACCCTCCGGCAAGCTAACGTTTAATTTTACTTTTACATAACGACCAACAAGATTCATTTTTGTAATCAGCACAAGTCTATGGTTTGTGTTATTTTAATGATTAATTAAAACTAGGAAAAGCTTTTAAAGGACAGATTCAACATAATCCCGTTTCATGAAAACAATAATAAAGAAAGGTTTGAGAACAAAACGATCCAACTAAATTGAGTTGTCCAATGAATTTGTCTTTTGCAACCATTACCTAAAGGCTTAATCTAGACAGCAATTTGTGATTGTTTTTCCAGTTTGTTTTTCAGCTTTAGCTAGAAAGCAATAGTAACTAACTGTAATACTTAAGTTCCAAAGTCTCTGAGCTCTGAGCTACAATAAAAAGCGGGGCGGGTTGGACAGTTCTAGATTATGACCATAAACAACCTGAATCTTTAGCGTTAAAAGGTAACTTTTAAATGCACAAATTGTTCACGCGCGATCCATATTTGTAACCGTACATTAAGTCTAGATTATCGTACGTTTACTATTATTTCCACCACTACGTCTTTGTCTTTTAGGCACTATTTAAGCACGATAAAGGGACCCTTTAGGGTAAATGCAGAGGCACCTTAAAACTACAACACCAGTCGCAGAATACCCGGGATTGTGACTTTTTAAAAGTGGACCATGCACGATCAAAGAAAGATTTCTGAGACTTAATTACGTAATACGTAGAGCGGTGCGGAACCAGAAAAACAAGGTCAGCTGTGTTTTGTAAGGATTAGTGGAGGAAGGGAGGGATTCAGGGAACATAAGAAAGTTGACACTTACGCGAATTAACTGGTTGCATTTTATCCGCTCCATAATTATAGTTTAAAAAGTTTGACGTTCTGTAAAACGGCTTTGCAAGCGCATTATTTTGTTGTGCGACAAAAAATGCGAGAGGACCTCAATTTTTATTTCACGTCGGGCGTACGCTTAAAGATCTGTAAGGCATATATTATTTTCTCATTTGGGAAAGATATAACTTCACATGTTAGCAAAAAATTATAGTTCAAAAATCTGAAATGATAGCAATTGTTTATGGATGCATTATATAGAAACCGTGCTGAAAGACCTGAAAATATGCACTGAAGCACGTACATTAGAGCATGTCCTCTTTCGTTTCGCAAAGGTCACTACTTCCTGGAAGTCGCGAAGCTCTTACTGTAGCTCAAAGAAGACACCATAGTTCAAAGATAACTACATGAGTTTAGAAAACAAAACAAGTATCGATGCATGTTTATCACGTTTAGGCACTAATGGAGTGGAGATTTCTTAGTGTAGTTCAATGAGGACACCATAGTTCAAAAATAACGACATGAGTTCGGAAAACAACACAAGTATCGGTGCCCATGTTTATTAGGTTTATGTACTAAGGGAGTGGAGAGTGGGAGTGAAGGGAGGTGTCTGCGCAAATCATCTCCATCTCTGTATTTTACTTAGACCTTTTCTCTATGTTACAGTTAGTCATATTAAGTATCACTGTTCAAATCCATCATGCTTTGCGGCCCGCTAGTCCCGTTTCATTTTCCTTTTGCTGCGGTTCTGTCGTAATTTTCCGGTAGGTGCA